ATAACAGGAATTTTGGTGTCTAACGCCTTTTAACCTTTCGAAACCTTCCTCGGAGTCGATTTTCGCAAAACCCGTTTATATATATATATATATATATATATATAGTGGAATTCTACTCCTTGAAAGGAACACGCCTCCCAAATTTCAAGTGCAGATCTAATAATTTAAAAACGAGAATATTTTTCTATAATGCCCCTAAGCCCCTCGGGGTTCTATTTTCGCAAAGCCTCTTTTGCAGCAAAACTCTACTCAGTGAAAGGAACACGCCTAACAAATTTGAAGTTGAAATCTAATAGTTCAAAAACGGAATATTTATCTATAATGCTGATTTTCGCAAAATTGTTTTTGTAGCGGGGATTTTGGATTTGTTCTCATTAAAAAAAACACTTGCCAAATGTTGTTGTTGTTGCTAATGCCACCTGTCTGACGTAGTCAGATCGATGCCCACGAAATTCATCATGGCATCGGGCTATATTGTACGCCTGTCGTTAGCCGTAGCTTTGAACACCATGCAGGTGACGATACGATTTGGCTCGGTTCTACCCCAATTTTTAGGGAGAACACACTGGAAGTGTGGTCAGGAGCTTCCCACTTCTCTTCCCCTTCCACCAACTTCACGAGAGGACTTGTGGCTCGACGGCCCCCATGCCGCGCGAAGGCACTGTACATTTACAAATATCCATGCCTTCTCCGGGATTCGAACCCAGGCCCTACGGCATAGCAGTCAGCGTCGCTAACTACTATACCGGATGGGCGACTCCCACTTGCCAAATTCCAAGATTAAGTCTAATTGTTCAAAAACGGGATTTTTTTAAAATCTAAAAAATATTGCCCGCGTAATTCCCCGCAAATCTTATCGGGAGTCCGTTTCCACAGAACCCATTCTTACCGAATCTCAACTTAGCAGAAGAAATATGTTTTGAAAATTTAAAAGTCTATCAGTCTTATTATTTAAAAATAGGAAATTTTGTGTGTAACGCCTTGCAACTCCCCCCCCCCCCCCGAGTCGATTTCCTCCATAAACCCGTTCTCTTTAACAAAAAAAAAAAAAAAAAAAAAAAATTTTCCAGGTCTTAATTTTGTAAATATATAGTGTAGAGTGGGTGGCGCCTCAAATACGGCGTGGCTCAAAAGACCCCACGGTGGCGTGGTGTTGAAATCAGGAAACTCTGAGATACCAACTCAGGTGTCGTCGTCGTCACCATTTGATCTCGGAGGTGGATTCAGAATTACAAAATTCTTCGCCAATAATCTTCATGTAACTTGTCAGCAGGCACGTCTTATGACTCTTTGAGGCCCTGGGCCTCCAGGAAACAGAAGGCCTTACCTGAGATCTTTAAAAGTAGATAGTATATAGCATGCATTGTTAAATACTTATTCAAACGTAATTTGAAACAAATAAATGTGCATAACTCTCACAATCTCAAAAATCTAGGCACAAACCGGCTCGACCGCGATAGCTGCATTTCGACCAAAAGTGTTGAATGATTGTTTATAGTATTAGGCATAGGCCTAGGCATGGACAACGGTCATCACATAATAATATAGCTTTATCATTTTTACTAGTTGACATCCAGTGTGAAATTACCTATTTTTCGGAGAATATGTACGGGAATAATATATGACAATTAAAATTATCCGCATCATGATCTAATAAAGACAGAGTCGAGAACGAAACGAGGCCCTGGGCCCAGTGGGCCCCTGCCTTAAGACGTCCCTGCTTGTGAGAGTGGCGTTAATAAAAAATAAATCAATCTGTTCCGATTAACAAGTCATAATTCGATCTTGTCGTAAGATGGCTTTGTTTTTCAATGTTAATCTCATTGAAACGTTATAAAAATTGACCGTAAAAAATTCAATTTATGTGCGTATAGTGGTTGTGCTATTCTTTACGTATTACTGCTTTATCAATACGACTATCTTTTTTATTTGCTTTTTCTTTTTGGAGTAATCTTAAATCGAGAAAGAAAATATAATTGAAAATCAAATTATGACCTTTTTAAATGATTTAGAAGACGACGGAGGAAATGTCATTTCCTTTGGTAAATCAGAAATATAAAAGTTATCCTAGATTTACTTTTATTATTATAATAAAGGCCGCTCCTGCAAGCTGTTTACAGATCCACTCTAAAACAGCTTCTGTTTGAGTAAACGTTTACGTTTTTTCGCAGCGGTACGAAGCACTCGTGAGTCTGCTAGCAATGTGTGGGTTGTGTCACAACTTCTTCTGCCTTAGTACAGAAAAAACCAGCATTTTTTTAACATAAAAGTGTTACGTTTTAAAGAAAGAATTACTTATTGAAAAGTTTAATTTGATTGGTGATGAAGTTCACGGTATGCTCCGGATACTTGGTTATTCCTTGTGGATATCTTTAATCATTTTCATCCCATCCTTTTCATGTGTTTACTTGCATATTTAAACAGTGAGATTCTGCTTGTGTAAATACCTAAGGAAAGTTTGATCAGAACAAACATGCCTGACAGAAGAGTTTCAGGTAATTATTGACACTGAATTTTTTTTAGAATAATTAAAATGTAAGAATGTTGGTGATTGTGTGTAGTATAGTCGTGCAAATAAAGTCACGTTCTTGAATTTCTTTATATAGAACAAGACGTATGGAATAAAATTACATCTCTATTTTTATCGATATAGAGCAGGATGAGTGTAAATAAACCCTGTAAGAGATGTATAAAAACATTTATGATTTAATTTATTTACTGTTGTGAAAATTTTGCCTCAAAGGCGATAAATATGCTCGTGTATGAAATAATTGTTTCATTATGCAACAAAAAAAAAATCTTATTACTTATATAAAAGAAGTAATAAGCATTTTTTCGAATTTAGCTGCTAAATTTGGAACGCAATTTTTTTATAGGATAAAAAGCCTTATTATTTATACAATTCTTGTAATTATAATTTCTACATTCATTTATAAATAGTGTTTCTTAAAATTTATATATATATATATATATATTTGCCTTATTTTGTGATTGTTATGGTTATATACTAAGTGGACGACAACGAAATTATTTTAGAATCCTAGCCTGTAGTATAGTTCAATTCATTTTATTAATACGACTTCTCACATGAAGTCTTTCAAACAAAGTGAACACTTTAGAACAAGTGTTAGAGTTGACATATTGCCGTGGCAGCATCAGCATTGCCATAATTCGTTAAACTAATTTAAAGAAGTTATTTTACCGTGATAGGTACTTAGCAAATCTGTGGTGCTAACAAGCCGAAATAGTTGTTTACATGGGCATTAACAGTGATGTGTGTGTTTTTTTTCTTCAAATATGGTATGTAAGGTTTAAAAATTAATTAAACATTACAAAACAGGCTATGAAATAAGTGACATATTTAACACCGGAAGAAATAAACTAATTCAAACAGGAGTCATATGCATAAGAAAGTGTAGTGCTCATTTACGTATCTGCCTTATGCCAATCAATTTATCACAGAAAATAAACTGGTTGCCAAAAGTTAATTTCAAATATTTTACGAGTAAATATTTTACGATGGCATCAACCGAATTGATGCCATCCTGAGAACAATTTTTCTCTTCAGAATAGTCATTGATTGTTCATTAACGTTGCAAAGACAATTGGCGACGAAATTCTTAATTTTGAACCAAGGTTTAGTGACGAGGACGACACTTATACCTGCACCCTATTTTCCAAATTTCCACTCCACTCCAAAGTGAGGTCTATGCGCCTTCTCTTGACAGAGTACACGTATCAGACACAGCAAATCTTCAGTGGCATTAGGACTCGAGGCCATAACGGGGTACAAATAATAATAATCTCCAGTTCACGACCAATTTAATTCATCTACCTTGGCCATCTTTTATGTACAGAATGCAATATTAATGCTGAAGCCTTTTTCTCTCTGAAAACAATTTACCGGATTGAGGTCTAATACTTAAGCGTTAATAAGCAAAGATAATTTGAAAATCTCATTTTTTTTAAAAAAAGGAAATAATTGTATTTATTTTTCAATGCCTATACTATTCACACTCTCCTTATATATCTATATATATATATATATACACAGGGTATCCCAAAACGACCACATAAACTCTGAACAGCTAGATTCCTCTTCGGGAGTACATAAAAACTGCTTAAAGGAAGCATTCCTGTACGATCCATAGTTTACGAGAAAAATACGAAAAACAAAGTATGAAGTCACTTCCGGCACATATCATTAACAGTATTTGCATATCTTTCCAGACGATAATGTTTAAAACGTTCGTCGCGCATGTCGCGTCATGCATGCGCGCGCCGTGGAATGACATTAAGCCAAGCGTTGAACTGGTATTTAAAAGGCTGCATCTTGCAGCTACCGGTAGTCTTCGTATGGTGGCCATGTATTCCGTTCGTAATTACTGCGACATGCCATCTCAAGGAACTGGTGTATCGAGACGTATTGACAACACAAATGGACAGTTGCTCTGCATGATGTTTGTACTTCGGTGGACCCCACGATGCTGCGACGTGTGATGACAGCCATTCCACGGCGTGCTCAAGTCAGCCTCGACATGCACGGTGGACATTTTGAACATCGGCTTTAAATTGTGCATTACTACTGTTAATATGTTCAATAAAGTGCTTTTTTCTTGCACCAGAAATAACGTTATACGTTGTTTTTCGTATTTTTCTCGTAAACTATGGATCGTACTTCTCAATACTTCCTTTGGGCAGTTTTTATATACTCCCAACGAGGAATTTAGCTGTGCGGAGTTTATGCGGTCGTTTTGGGATACCCTGTATATATATATATATATATATATATATATATTGTTCAAATTTTCAACCACTTATAAGATACTTTCTGTTCATCCATTCAAGTTCAAATAAATTTTTAAAACTTGTAGTGGATGATACTTGGATGTTAATACAGTTTTTTTTCAAATATTAATTCCTTAATTAAATTTAAAAATAAATAAATAGTAACAAAAAAAAATCCAACAGCATATATAGAAAGGAAAATTGTTCGCTGGATCCCTGTAGCGCAATGGATAGCGCGTTGGAAATATAATCTAAAGGTCGTGGGTTTGAATCCCACCTGAAATGGCCTAATTTCTGAGAATTTGATTTCTTTTTTACTACACTTTTTTATCAGAATAATTAAATTTAGGGAATGAATAAATACTTAAACAAACAAACAAAAATAGTCCAACACCCAATATAGAAAGGAAAATGGAAAATTATTGCAAGGAAAATTGCTTTCTATTTTTCCACTTGATATTGAGATTCTGTCATATGTATATACATATTTCTATCAATAGTAACTATTTAATAAAAAGTAACTAAAATAAAATGTTTGTTGACCTAAGTAGGAATTGACTTAATTTTTTTATATATATTACTTATTCTCTTAAGAGGATTTATGAGTTTATTTTTAAAAAATGGATCTAATCCGTTTTAAAAATGAAGTATTTTGATCTTGGAGTGGAATATTGCGGGGAAAAAAACGTTTTATTTTGTTTCAGACATAAAATATATATACAGTGAAAAGACGAATCTGATTTGATTTTCAACAACAAATATAAAGGTTATTGACGAGGGACTTCGGAATTTAGGATCTTGACAAAGTGGCGAGGACGACGTCTGAGCTGGCACTTCGCTCTCAAAATTTCCATACCACGCCAACGGGAGACTGAACACCAGAAATTTAATGTGCCTCAAATCCTCCACACGTTGGATCTTCAGTGGTACCAATACTCGTATTCGTGGTTAGGATCGTGGGTAAAAAAAAAACCCACCAAAATTACTTTTTAAGCAACCTTCCAATACATGTATATAATTCAGAGAGAAAAATAATCATGAAAACCAGATCGTAAGCAAAAGATAAGCTCATCCTATAAAAACAAAAGTTTCATGTTTTGCTTTAATAAACATTAGGAGGCTGAGGACCACTTTTAAGTGGGGTGAAGCCATGTCTTATCGGTCAAACAATCTTTCCTGTTTTGTTTATAATGCAAAGCAAAAATCAAATCAGAAATAAATTTGACTGTTGTGGCATAACATATTTTAGTTTCAAATTTTAAAATAATCGTAATAAATAGTCTACGAAACGCTTTGTGCAATATCGCTAAAATGTAATTTTGCTGTATTTCTTAAAACCCAAAGAAGATGAAAACGTTTTTAGAAAAATATAGCAATATTTTGACCAATTTGAGAAGGCATCCACCATTAATATAATTTAGAATCAAATATTGGAGAAAAGTAAGGAAAAATTAAAAATAAATAAATAAATATAACTAAATTAATAGCTTCAAAAAGAGGTGTATAACAAAGCATATATTGTGTATTAACTGCATGACCCGGCGTTGTACGGGCTTTTTTAAGGGTAAGCTTTTTGTCTTGGAAATTTTTCCTTTTGATGTCAGCCCTTCCTGATGTGTCTGTGTGTTTGAAATATTAATGTCATTAAAATTGCCTTTTTCGAAATATCTTTCATCTCTTTGCCCCGTCGGACGGGTATGTTTTCCCTCCGCTTAGCCCGGTGTTGCACGGGCTTTTTCCGAGTTTTACCTTATCCCCTTGGAATTTTCCCCTTATGCTTTCGACGCCAGTACTTCTAAGTGTGTGTGTAAAAATTTCTTTTTCCAAAATTTATTCCACTTCTTTTCCTTGTAGACAGGTTTATTTCCCCCTACCTTTAACTTGGCGTTGCACGGCCTTTTTTCGAGTGTAAAACTGTTTTCCCCCTCTTTTTTTTCCAGGAATAAAAGCATTCTAAAAATTTCTATTTCTATTTCTTTTTTTTTTTTTTACAAAAGCAGAGTAGTACTGTTTTATTGAAAAAATAAAAATTGAGAAAGCAATAAAAAGAATACGTTTCTGATATAATATATTACAAAAAATCAGTATATTATTTATTTTTTAGCAATAATTAATTTTTAGAATCCAAAGTAACAAAATGGTTTTTAATTTCCATTTACAAATCAATAGTTACATACCTTTCGTTTAAAAATGTCCCTAAAAACTAATTTAGTTTTATTCACAAGAAACAGACCATGTACGATTCTATTATTAAATAATTAAGTAACGAATAGTAGAAAGCAATACTGCTTTTTTTTTTTTTTTTTACAAAAATATTAATTTTATATATCCGTTTTTCTTAAATAATAAATCTAAAAAATTTTACCGTTAGATATTGAAACGACTGCTTATTTCCGAATGTTTGTTCTTCCGTATTGATTACATGTATTTAGCGATTTTTTTTTGTATCATTTTTACAGTAACCTCCAAAACGGAAAATGTACCTTTTTTTAAAAAAAGTTTTATGTATAAAAGAGTGCAGAAAAATAAAGATTTCAAAATAACAGAGTTCCATAAATTTTTTAAAGTTTTACAGTATTTTGCTTCAGCTCAACTTGGCAACGTTGGTAAAGATAGAAAGTGTGCCAATCTCTTTAAAAAATAATTCAATCTTTTTATTCAATCATTTAAAACATTATATTAAAGAAAATCCATAGAAATTTGTAAGAAATATCATACATTGCAGAAATTATGATTTTAATAATATGTTTCAAGTTAATCACATGTTAAAAGCAGTCATACTTTAATCAGAGTGAATGAATTCCGTCAGAAGATCAATGCCATGAAATGCAAGTTTAACAGAAAACCAGTTTTCGACGCCAACTTGCATCAGTGTAAAAACAATAATGTTGTCACAACGATACGGATGAATATAGGCAGCTTGCTTTGGAGACTATTCATGAAGTCCCGTGTGACGCATTACAGATCTATACTGATAGCAGCATGGGGGTAGGCGCCCCTTTTCGGGAAGTGGAATTTTCATCAAAAAGGGGAATGGTATTAGGATCTGCAAGAGAAATCATGACTTCTACTCAGTATTTCGGGCAGAACTCTTAGCTATCGAGGAGGCTTTGAAGTTTTGCTTTACTGAGAGTGTCAACACAAATATTTGGATATTGAGTGATAGCCGAAGCTCTATTCAGCATCTATCTGAATGGTGGAGGCATGGTGACAGAACGACATCGAGTATTATCCGGCTATTAAAATAGCTTGAATGCTATTGTTAAGATCATTTTTCAGTGGGCACCATCGCACGTGAATGTCAATGGGAATGAGATTGCAGATGGTTTGGCCCGCGAGGGCAGCCATAAAGATTCTACACATGGTGGTTGCCTTACTTTTTCAGAAATTGCTACGCGGGTCAAACAAGATATCAGTTCCTCTTGGAGGCAGGTCCCCGTACATGAATGGTATGAAGGAAACCACCCTAGTGCTGCTTTACTTGGAACAAGCAATAGGCCAGATGAAACTACTCTTGCTAGACTACGAAGTGGACATACTTGAGCTCAACGGCATGTGGATGGTCTTAAAGTTTACCCTCCTTGTCCGAAATGCAATGTGAACCAAGCCGCTCCTGCCCACATCTTGGCTTGTATTGGAGGCCATAAGAGCCAGCTGCTCTCAAGTCCACCTACAGTTCTTGATTGCTTGAAAACGCATGGGTTCATGGACTTGATCTAGATGTTTCTGTCGGTCAAGTGGGATAAGAAACAACAACAACAACAAAAAAGGTTTTAATTAATATCTTTTGATCTATTTTCAATTTCGGAATTTCAATTATCAAAATCGATTCCTCGGATCGTTTCCGATCTTTTGATACCTTTGGCGAGTTTCTGTGTTCAGCGTTTCGTGAGAAGATAACCTCACATAAATATATACGTTTGTTTACCTTCGGATTTTGTAGATTTTTCGTATTTTGTACAATATTTGTAAGTACATAGGTTTAATTTAAGTGTTTTATGCAGAACGCTGAGATTATATTCATTTTTTGTGTGGTGGCGGCAGAAAAATAAAAAAGCCTTTTGATATCGATCACATCATTTATTTCAGTTGAACATCAGGAGAGTTATTTGAGCGAGCGCTTCGCTCAAAGAGTGAAAACACGAGAGAAAATTATACAAATTTCACATTTTTATATGCAGGGAAGAATACACCCAGACACACACGATCGCGCGAGCGTGTATAGTTAAAAAAAAAGATAAAATTAGTTGGAATTTCTGAATTGAGTCCAAAGTAAATACAGTATTTCTTCTAGAAAAACCGGAGATTATTATTGTAAAATCGTCATTAATCATAAAATCTGTCTTGAATCGAAATGCTCTGAATACGTTGCTAAATATAAAACTGGCGAGAAGGGGAAAAATAGAAAACATCTGACTGCTGATTTAAAAACAGTCGTCCAGTCGAAAATTCTGCGAATGTTGATTGATCAGCTGTGACCTCACGGCAGGATTCAGAAGCGACATATTCGCAATAAATGATTGCTTTGAAAATAAATATCTTGCCACGATGTTGGAATTCCAGTTAGGTCTCGTTTTCGAAGATAGTTAAGGACGTTTCAGATATCGTACGTATGACAAGCGCAGAAAGAATTTATTTTTATGATAGGTTTTTAAAAAACAACATAAATGTAAATTTATATTTTTAAAAAATGAGCGCTACAGGAAAGCTTATTTGTTAAGTGTCTAATAAAAAAGAAATATATATCCCTCTATTTTTTTATTTAAATCGAAGAATGCGGGCTATATTATAGTCCGGTGTCAGAAGTAAGGTTAAGTGGAGCAATTGCTTTATAAAAGTCCTCGTAATGCACATTATAATTTTATTTAGCTCATAAAATGTGTACAAAGGTAAAAGTAAAATATTTACAGAAATAATAACTGAATATAAAAATGTGACATTGTAAATTTAGAGGTAATAAATTGTTCGATAAATATTATACCTTCTACATGAGATATTAACGCCTGGTTCTTAAGAAAATAACTTCCATATTTTTTTCTTTAAAAAACTATTTTTTATTCATATAGATTATTAGTAATTGAAATAAAAATCAAGCTAAAACATTTGTCGGAAGACAGTTAAGTTGACTGCCAACGTTCAAAACCATGATTCCAAAAACGATCATTTTTTTTAAAAAAATATTTAATTGAAGTAGGATATGCATGTACAATTGTTTGAAAAATTTAATTACAAGAAAAAATTATTTAGGTGCACATTTTTGGCAAATAGAACGACAAATTTTCAAA